TACTTAAACTTAAGTTCCTCTTAAATTCCTTAGCAAGAACCTTCTGCTTTAGAGGTACTTAACATTAAGTTGCTGAGCAAGAACCCTATGCTTCAGAGGTACTTAAAGTTAGGTTCCTGAGCAAGAGCCCTATGCTTCAGAGGTGGAAAAGCTGAAGTTAGGAGAGCAGTAAAGCCTAAACCCTAAACCCTAAACCCTAAACCCTAAACCCTCTTCCGCGGAGGCCAAGCCCTTCAACTCCGGGCCCGGTGACTACTCTCTAGGCATTGGGGGGCGGGCGGGGATGTGGGCTGCTTCGATCCCTTTAAAGGGGGGTCCTCAAACGGATGCTTTCTAGGGGATCTACAGGAGTTGGGGTTTGCGGTTGAGGCTTTGAGGGTAGTTCTTTTAGTAGGTTCCTTGTCATAAGAATTGCCGTACTATTTGGGCATCTAAAGTGGGGCCCTAAATTAGGGAGCTGCCCATGTGCGCATTCGCTGGGAGCAGGTTGAGGGTTCGAGGCTGCGAGAGAAGTCGGGTCAAGATGCCTCCTTGAGGTTCGCTTTCAGATGGATCTGGAGAGGAGAACTCTACCTATAGTCTCCATTGTGGTTCCTTTTTGGGGATACCTTATAAAATCCTAAGTATATAGTTGGTTAAGCCAAAAAAAGGAACTACAATGGAGACTATAGGTAGCCCAAGCCTGCGCAGCAGCGGGAACAGGAACTCCCTGCAGCATCTTCTTCGAGGTGACCGACATGGAAGCCGCCCACATCATCGGCAGCTCGGCAAAAGCAGGATCTGAGGAGAGCCATTCTTCGGCGGTTTAGGGTTTAGGGGTTTAGGGTTTAGGGTTTAGGGTTTGGGGTTATGGAGGGATTAGAGGTTCTTCTTAGGCTCAATCGTGCTTCGACGTGAAGCTCCTGAATGCGCTGAGAAGGCTTGCAGTCTTTGGCGAAGTTTCTGTAAGCCCTAAACCCGAAGCAATCAACCCAAAACCCTCAACCTGTTAACCCTAAACCCTCAACCCTAAACCCAAAACCCTCAACCTGTTAACCCTAAACCCTAAACCCAAAACCCTCAACCTGTTGACCCTAAACCCTAAACCCGCAAGGCAAGGGAGGCGCCTTCCTGAAGCAGGCCCGGCACTCAGCAAGGCAAAGCTCACGGGGGCCGGCCACCTTTCAGAAGGTGCTGAAAGGTATATTCTAGTACATAATATGCCATAGATATTCCCTACTACTTCATGTATATAATATATACATGTATATATATATATATACATGTATATATATATATATACACACACTCTCTCTCTCTCTCTCTCTATATATATATAATAACATATAGTGTGTTATATAAATAAATATAAATATATATATATATACATAACGACATAGAGTGTGTAAATTCATAGTATGTATAAGAGGATCTTCACTGAGGAGAGACACACTTTAAGGGATCATCGCAACATCTGATCGATGGACTTTCTGAGACTCCCTAGGGGTCTGCACCAGTCACTGGCGCAGTCCACTTCTGGTGCCCATGATGGCCTCTAGCGAAAGTCCCAACCCCCCGAAGCTCCCCATCACAGCCCTCGATACTTGGAACCTAAACCCTAAACCCTAAACCCTAAACCCTAAACCCTAACACTAGCCAGGTGTGCCAGGAGACCGGTGCCAAAGTGCAGCTCAGCAAGAGAGGCCCGGGGTCGCTCGACGGAGGGGGCTCGGGTCTGCCACCACTCTGAGTGCTCTTCTGAGACTCGCGTACTTATAGTTTCATCTTCGATACAGTACCTCATTCAGAGCGTGTGAGGAGACAGGGTTTAGGCCTAGGGCTGCCTGGCCCTTCGACAGAACCACAGGCGAGGCGTCGACTTTCGGTAGCGACAAGCGACTCGTCACGGTCTCCGGCATGATCCAGCCACGTGGCGGCAAAGTACATTAATTAATAATTAGCTTTTAGACACTCGTCAAGGACGGTAGCGAAAAGAAATCGCTTCAACAAGAGGGTATTGCAGGACTTATCCGAGATTTCGAGGCTTAGGACAGAGCAATGCCATCGGGGTCTCGCCTTGTTCCGGCCCTGCTCCCCCCCCGGTGCAAGCGTCGGCCTGTGTTGAGACCTCGTTTCATGTAGGAGCCGTCGGTCTTTCGTGACTTTTTGTGGCCCAGGCAAGTGCACGGAGCGCAGCTTGGACGGCAAGTTGTGCCTGCAGTTGTCTCCACGGCCCTGCTTCCTACACCTTACCAACCAACATACAGGAGGGCTCTGTGTGCTGAGGTTTGCACGCACGGACAAACAACGATCTGAGGAGTGCGGGTCTTGCGGAAGTGCGCTTCGATGGTCTCTGAGGCATTCGCTGGTTCTACAACGCGTGGCTGAGGTTGCGGCTCGGGCGCGGTTCTAAGCAGCTGCTGCTTCTGTATCCCGTAGCACTTGTTGCACGAAGACACAAGGCGCCTCCAGAACAACTTATGCCTTGAAAGATGGAGGTCAGGATCTTACAATTCACTTGCATCTTGATAACAGCCGATGTCAAGTTGAGGACTTGAGTCAAGACTGCCAAGGTTCATTGTTGCAAAGCCTCTGAAGCTTCCAGCAGGGAATGGTCTGTAGGTGAACATGCTGGTGTGCCCAAGCCTTCACAGCCACGAACCTCGAAGCAAGACTTCCTTCACAGATAATTGGCCAAGCACTCTACCCACAGAGGAGCATATTAGTATTCCTTAGGCTTCCTTATTGTACTTATACTATAAAGGAGCCCAAGACCCTATATATGCTAATTATGAAGACCCCTACATTACATTCTAGCGTTCAACCTCTGCCGGGAAACTCTGGCAGGCTAGCGGCTGATGCGCGCTGTCGCCCAAGGTTTCCCAAAGCAAGGTCCCGCTGCGCGCAACTTAGCTTCCAGATTGCACGAGATCTCGTGGAGTTGAGAGGTGCATAAACCCTAAACCCATGTTAAAAACACGACTAGCCGGCGGAGCACTCGGCATGTGACTGTCGAGGTTCAGAGCCAGGGCTGCTCATCGGAACGCGGGGCCACGGTTGAGCAAAAAAAGGAGGGGGGGTGCCGCCGTGTGTCGAGGCCGAGAAATTGTCAGAGATGGCATGCTTCACCAGTGCTCATCATCATGAGAACGGGAGCCTCTCGAATCAGGAGCCGGAATCGTTGCATACAAGTAATGTAGGGGCCTTAATAATTAGAATAGGGTTTTGGGGTCCATTATATTATACATATAACAAGGCCCCCCCTCAAAAAAAACAACAACAAAAATAAGAAAGTATTGGTAACTATTTAGGGCCCCTGTAATACCATATGGAGCGCGTGAATTTGGAGTGCCCAGGCGCATGCCCTGAGGACTTCACATGGCAGAACTCAGCTCTTCGGTTCGAGCCAGGCCATACCCATAAGCCCCATAGTACCTTCGGGTTTGGGGTTTAGGTTTTAGGTTTTAGGGTTTAGGGTTTAGGGTTTTACCTGTAGTCTCCATTGTAGTTCCTTTTTGGGGATGCCTTATAAAATCCTTAATATATAATTGGTTAAACCAAAAAAAGGAACTACAATGGAGACTATAGGTACTTCCTTTTTGGGATTACCTTATAGGGTTCTAAATATGAACCCCAAAAAGGAACTACTATGGGGCCTCTGGGTATGCTACAGGACGAAAGGAGCCCTAAAAAAGGGCTTAAGGTGGATGTGCCATTTGTAGGGGTTCATAGTATAAGTCTAAGAGTATAGGGCCCCTAGGTTTAAGAGTCTTTTGGTCCATAAGGTAAGCAGGAAGAATGACCTACAGGAACTGTAGAGATTCCACCAAAAGTTTCAGCACCGATGGCTTCCCGCAAGGCCGGGCAGAGATTTTGCATTCCGGGGGTTTAGGGTTTAGGATTCAGGGTTTAGGGTTTAGGTCTTGCAGATATCACAGTTGCAGAGCTGCAAACTTCTTCTGTCCGACAGAGGCGCTCTTGTCAAGCCCAGTAAGGCGCACTCGGATCGTAGTCGGAGCCATGCCAAGCCGGCTTGGCATTTTGTCTTTCATGGCACCGACCCTACTCCCTTGGCAAGCGTCAGCTGCTGAAGATGATGTGCAGTGGGACGAGCTGGCAGCTACCACGAAGCTGTCGCTCGCCGCACATCAGATCGTCTATGACAACCGCAGCGACAGCCTTTGGCTTTATGGCGGACAGGTTGGGCAGGGAAGTGACGATAACACAGATGAGCTCTGGAAGTTCGATTGTGAAGCGCAGTCATGGAGCCGTCCGACAGTTTCAGCTTCATCTCCAACGCCGCCTGAAATGAGGAACCACAGGATGGTTTACGACGACCACCACCAGTGTCTTTGGATGCTATCCTATGGGTTCAGCTATGATCTCTGGACTTTGCAGCTAGACACTCTCGTGTGGAGCAAGCCAGCACTCACGACCTCACTTCCCCCCGGTGTCGTTCTGGGGAAGTCGCACGCGCGCTACGGACCAGCAGTGGTCTACGACAGCGGCAGTCGGGCATTGTGGCTTCACGGAGGTGGCTGGGACGCAGATGGCAGGGTGTTCTCCGACTTGTGGAGGTTGGACTTGCAATCTATGGGTTGGAACGAGACCATGCTCCCCAGTGCTGCCACAAGACCGTCCGGTCGTCGCAATGCCGAACTCGTCTACGACAGCAGCCGCCACGTGCTTTGGCTGCATGGCGGATATGACGGCGGGAACTTTCTCTCCGACCTTTGGCAGCTGCAAGTTGCAAGCATGACATGGAGTGAGTTTACTTTCGGGGAAAAGCCCAGTGGGCGGCACGCCCATCAGTTGGTGCATGACAGTTCCAACGATGTGCTTTGGCTACATGGTGGGAGTAATTCGCAGCCGATGGATGACCTGTGGAAGCTGGAGCTTGACGCGATGCAGTGGAGGCAACTCAGTTTCGATGTGAAGCCGTCTGGTCGCTGGGCACATCAAATGGTCTTCGCCACTGCTTCAGACACCCTGTATCTTCACGGTGGAGTCGGTGGGATGATATGTGGATGCTTAGACGCTTAACAACAACCACCACATTCTCCGCGTCAACGTCGACAAGCTCTTCGTCGTCCTCGTCAACATCCTATTCTTTAACAACCCTATCCTCGCACACATCAACCGCAACAAGCTCTTCTTCAACTTGGTCGTCCTCGTCAACATCCTATTCTTCAACGAGAAGCTCAACAACCTTGTCCGCGACCAGCACAACCACGACACAGACTGAGGGAGTTCATGCCACCCAGGGCTTCTTGTTCCAAAGCTCGAGCGCTCTGACGCTTCAGGCTTTTGGTGCTTACTTCGCCGTCATCGCTGGCCTTTGCAGTCTGAGGTATTTGTGGAAGCTGCAAGACGTCAGAAACGCAAGCGACCTTCCAGGACGGAGATGTTGAACACAGTGTAGTGTAAGTCACACGCACGTCTCTCCAATATGGCCATTTCCGCTAGTTTAGGGAGAAGAGGCTGTTACTAGTAGGTACTCCAGCACCCTAATCCTGCGAGGCCAAAGCTATGGGCTGCATGACAGCGTGGGCAACGACGGAGACCTTAGAGAGCCTAGTCAGGCGGAGGTGCAAGAAGGTGGTCAGGTGGAGGTTGGAGCGGAACCACATGCTTACTCAGAAGACACCAGTGCCAGGGGTTTGCTAGACCGGTGGAAGAACAGCCCGTGGTTTCTCGCGATGCTTATGCTCTTCGAGTCCGTGAACCTGGTCTCTTCAACCATTTACGTCGTGGAGGCCTATCAGCGAGCCGTCCTGACGGATCTTTATGCAACGTGCTCTGACGGCACAGTACTCGTACCCATTTTCGCAGCAGAATGCCCCGCAGAGAAAGCGATGCTGAATGGCATCCGCAACTGCGATGCTGCCCTTGCGATCGGTGACGTTTGCGGAGCAGACGCCTTCACCGACGGAAGTAAGAACTGTGACACGAGGGACACGCTGCAAAACTGCGGCATGTATGATTTTTACCGCAGGACATCAACATGCGGTGACTGTGCAATGCTTGCCCACCTTCTGTGGGTGTGTGCAGCCGCCTCTGTTTTCTGTACGGTTGGTTGGACCTGCCGTTTCTACACCAAGAGACTGGAGGTCCGTTTTCTTACAGTCCGGCCTCGCCTTAGGTGGCAGCACCATTTCGTTTATGCTTTTCTATGCATTTGGCTGCTCCTTGCCGCCGGCATCGGCTTCTTCATGGAAGGCGGCACCGCAGTGCTGCTGATGGCCGTCCTTTGCCCGGCAGTTGCTTGGCTGCTGTGGCTCTTCGTTCTAGCCATTGTCGTGCACGACCAAGCTGCAGAGGAGGAGGTCTTAGTTCAGCAATCGGCAGCCCTGGAGTTGCCGCTTTTCAATATGCTGGTTGCCTTCTTTCTGGAGGAGAAAGCCATCCGGCAGCTGAGCCAGTTCCGCCTTCCACTTCAGCAAGGTCTCCGAATTTTCGAAGACCTGCCAGAGTGCATGGTCGGTGCCGTGGACCTCCTGTTCTTCGGGGGCAGCTGGTTCACCGCCTTGGGCATCGGTATGTCTCTGCTCATGATCACATTGCAGCTGAGCATGGCTGTATCTGCCAACGTACTGCAGCAAGCGAGACGCATAGCAAGGCCGGGCCACAGACGACAGATAGACCGAGAGTGACACTTATTGCGGCATATGACTGACTGACATCGTTTATTCCTGTCTTTCCTAAGCCCATGACAATGAGCTACGGACAGTGTTCTGTCCAACTTCCGAGGGTAACCGTTTGCCGACAGCCCGCAGGCCTCCGAAGGAGGCTTGGGCGCGGAAGGGGCGAGCATGATGTCTTTAACTGGAATGCAGAAGTGAGGATTTCTTGTTTTCCAGGACCCAAGACATTCAATTCATACAAACTTTTTTTGCGCGCCACAATGCATGAGAGAGACCATAGAAAAGGCTGACAGATGCTGACAGGCTGTGGCTCAGTATTTTAGCGCCATGTGTGCATTCTGCCGCAGGGTTTCACATGCCCTGAGAGAACCTCCCTGCTCGAGGCGTGATAGCACTCGCAGACCAAGTCGAAATTGCCCCTACATAACCCTAGGGCTCCAGTTACCTAAATAGTAGGTTACCGGGGTACATAATATATGGTTAGTAACCTACTATTCAGGTAACTGGAGCCCTTGGGTAAGACAAAGCCTCCCAAGCCAAGCTTCGCGAAGAGGCCGTTCCGCTCCCTATGGAGCCAGCTGCAGCTGCACGCCAAGCACGACTGCCGAAGAGAAGACCGGTTTAGGGTTTAGGGTTTAGGGTTTAGGGTTTAGGCTTTTGCAGATGATCCGGCTGCAATACCTGGGATGCTGTGGAGTCGCTTTGCGGATCGGCGCACGAGACATGATGGATGAGTGTTGCAATATCGAAGGCAGGGCACCATAGATGTGTAATTTGCTTATTTATTTATACCCACATACATATATTACATATGCACAATATGACTGTCGGCGCCTGGGTTGCTCATTGTGCAGGATTCTGCATTGGAAGAGCGGAGAGCTGGGCGAGCGCTAGAGAAGAGCTGGGCAATTCAGCACGAGCTCACTGCATGTAGGAGATCTTCAACAGCCGTCGTAAAGTGTCGGCGTCTTCTTGACAGAGTCAGAGAGTTACATGCTGGATGCACGCCCAAGAGCTCCTTATCTCTTATGAAGCTTCTCGGATCAAAAGGATCGGGCTGGCAGACGAGCACAAGACTCAAGACGGCAGCACTGTTGCATTGCAGAGCGCAACACACCTCGACTCGACCGTAGTTCTAAATAGATTGCAGCATCCTCCAATAATCCTTTGAACCGAACCATACAGTTCCCACATGTTCACACATTGTTATATCCTCGAGCGAATGCGGTAGCTTCTCAGAACCTGCGTGTTCCTTAACGCCGTAGGCTCCGCTCAGAGGCATCAGAACTGCTAATGCCGCCCCCCTCCGCACCTTCGAAGAAGCTGCGACGGCAAAGCCCCTTTTCCTTGCCCCTGGCGCAGAATGAGACTCACAGTTTGTTACTTCTAGGGCTTCTGTGCCTCTCCGAGCAGAAGCTAAGAGCCACGAGTGTGCCGAGTTAAGAGGAAAGGCCCGAAGATCTGGCAGTACTAACACATTTTCCTCTTGTTCTGCCCCATTACACTTCGGTGAACTGTGCCGCCCTGAGCCTCATAAACGCCCTAAGCCCCTAAACATCCCTCAACCCTAAACCCTCTTTGTGTCGTGGGAGCTGAGCTGGACGGTAGAGTTCCGAAAGCCGACGCACCCGAAACCCTGAACCCTAAACCCTAAACCTACTACAGATCCCCAAAGGGCCTCCGGAAACACGACCCTTAAAACGACTCACCGAAGCCGGGAGCCGGCAGCTGGCAAGAAGCCAACTTGGTCAAGGTCTATTCAGTTCAGTTTCTTCAATCGGAACCCAATCTAACGGTTCAGAGTTTAGGGTTCTATTCAATTCAATTTCTTCAACCCGAGCCCAAAGTATACCGTGATTGTTGAGTCAGTCGTTTCCAAAAAGGTTCTTTGGGCTCAGCTACTTGATGCTTTCCTCCTGGACTCTCGAATGTTTGAAGTTTCTTCCTTGTTGAACGCGGTGACCCACATGCGAAGTCAAGGTTAGTTGCACGTGGCGGAGCAGTGTGCTGCTTGACTGCGATTGCTTGTGAGTTCGCAGTTTGCGACCTAATAGCACGCTGCAAGGTCCAACTGTGTGAGTACTGCGTGTAACATCCTGCGGTGAATCCAAGCACGCTTCGAAAGGGAACGATTAAGTAGTTACTTCAAGACCTTCCAAGTAGCTGCGCATTCGTTTCTATCGGTCGGCAATGCTAGCGTATGGTCTTGGTACGACCCAGCGTCCGACAGCTCACTTCAGGAATTCGGAGGTTTCGACACGCAGAGAGGGTAAGTGGATTCGTCGGAGCTTGCAAGTTTTTGGCAAACACTGTGAGAACTACCCCGATAGTACATAGCAACCCTACAGAAACCCTTACAGATCCCTTTGAGGAACTCCAATGGCGTGACACCCAAAGTTGTGTCCAGAACCGGCGAAAGTTGTGAGAAGCGCTGGGTTCTTGGCAACCATACATTCCGTGTGGGATTCCCGCTAGCCAATGCGCGGATTTCCTGGACTTAGGTGTTGGTGAGGTCATCAAGCCGCCCAAGCGAGAAGACATCCGGCCAGTCCTGGATGGATGGTTCAAGTTGCAGAACCCGGTGCTCAACTGGAAAGTTTGCCGGCGGTTGAAAACCTGAAGAAAAAGGACAACCGTAAAAGCCTCAGTGGAATCCACGGGACCTGAGCTGCCGGAATCGGGGGGTTGCAGCACAACTGACATCGCCTTCTACAAAAGCGTTTCGGTGCTCGCGAAATGCACGACGATCTAGCCCTCCGGCGATGGAGTTGCTGTGGAACCTTTGATTTGCTCTTGGAGGTCTTCCTGTGTCGTGCTCGCTGGGGTGCGCTCTCTGGGGTGTCTTGACGTTCGGGTTTGGCTGGATGGCTTGTGACTTCCCACTTGCTTGGGATAAATCTTGATTCGCATCTTTGGGCAGGAGCCTGTCGGCCCGCGTCTCGACCAGTTGTTTTTCAACATGCAACAGCTGCCACCGGCCACTCGGATTTAGCAGCAAGCATCCCTAATCAGACGGAGTTATTATACTAGACTCACTAGACCCCAAAATCTTATTTTATGTGTTCATGCCCAGATATGAAATCCTTATATACCCCTTTGAACCCTATCGAAGCCAATGCTCCTCTATGAAACCTTTCTGCAAATTCTATGTGACACTATGGGTTTCTCGTAAGGAGCCACCGGCGCCGTCCTGCTCACCTCCGCCGGCACAGGGCTTTCTCTGTGCCGTCCCCCAGGCCTGAGAGTTCTACAAGGATACCCATGATCATTCTTGTTTTTGATGTTATTGTTGTTGCTGATATTTTTCGCAGGAAGTAGTTAATATCATGAATAGTTTTATGGATCTGACTATGGCCGTCGCATTTATCAATGTTATTGGTCTTATTGCCACCACGCATTAGTGTGCTCCTTCGTATTGTTGATCTTGTGTTCCCTGTGCAAGCAATTCAGGGCTAGAGACTGCGTACATTTCAGGTGTGAGGTCTGGGAAGATGTATCTAGAATGGGGTTTGGGTCGGGGGCAAACTGGAGTTTAGCTGATATTCAAAGATGTTGGCAGGTAGGCGGCTCAACTTTAAGCCTCGTAGCCTCAAGCCCTAAGCCCCAAGAGCTCGCCGTAAAACCCAAAGCCTTAAAGCCCCAAAGGCCTCGGCTTTCGGAGAACCTTTGGGGCTTGTTTTTAAAAGTCCCCAGATTACCCCAACTCCTTATGCCTGAGCCGAAACCTAAAGCGCCCTGAATCAAGAATCCGCCAGCATTAGCACCTGCTGATGTTTGCATTTCGCGAGTTGCGAGCTTTCCCCACAACCGCGATCCACCCCGTGAGCTCTAAACCCTGAAACTTGAAGAAGCCACGAATTGGAATCCGTGAGCCCAAACTCTAAGCATTTTAAGATCAGGGTTTATGCTGACCATAAACATTCAAGCCTAGCAATACTATAACACTGCGATAACAATTTGTTCCTTGAAATTGTCCTTTAAATTGAGAACAGACACCTGCATTCCGGCGAAGATCCCCATGCGAACCCGGCAGCTCTCGTGTTCTCTCTGCTTTGATTGCGCAGTGGCTTGCTGCCTCTCTTCGAGGGAAGTTTAGGGTTCAGGATGTAGGGTTTGGGGTTTCGGACCGACAGGGATAGGCTTAGATTCTGGACTTACAGTTTGCGATGGTTTATCAGCTTCAGGCAAGACTTCAGGGTGATCGGTGGAGGGGTGGGCATTGGCTCCAGGAAGCCATGTTTCAACGACCCCAGAATCCCAACCCTAAGCCCCAAAAGCCTCATCCCTAGCAGAGCTATCACCCCTAAACGCGAGAACCCTCAAGCTTGTAAACCATAAGTGCGAAATCCCTCAACCCTTAACCTCAAGCTTCAGACCCGAAGCCCACGCTTTATAGGGATAAGCATCAGATCTATGCCCAAACCCCTAAGCCCCCTCCTAAACCCTAACCCCCTCAAACCCCCAAACCCCCTAAACCTGTAAACCCAAACCACCATAAACCACTAAACCCAAACCCCCTTAAACCCCCCAAACCCTGAACCCTAACCCCCTTAAACCCCTAAACCCCGGTCGATGAGGGTTTTCTGCCAGGCCTCGAGCACAGCCCAAAGTGGTCAGTGCGGAAGGCCATCAAAGTGAGCACGGCTGAGGCCCAGGGTTCTATAAGGTCCAAAGAGGGTTTAGGGTTTAGGGCTGAGGCCCAGGGGAGGGTTCGATATTGAACTTTTCATCTGGGTTTAGGGTTCGGGGAACTTTGATCGGGGTTTAGGCCCAGGCTTCGATGATGAGCCTGTGGTTGGGGTCTTGTAATTGAGTTGAGAGGAGTTCTAATTGAAATGATTTTGATATGGTTTAGGGTTTAGGCCCAGGCGTCGATGTGACTTGTGCAGGCAGCACCGCCTACAGCGAAGCCGGTGGCAATGCCCGTGGCAGCCGCGCCGATGTCTATACGACGGCAGGTCGTCGTCAACCAGCTGCCTCATCAGTTCATGCCCCACCCATGCACGGCAAGCAGCGAGCAGGCGGCTTGTCTCTTTGAGCGTTCACAGTTACCTTACCACTGCGTTGCACGTTTCATTTGTGAAGCATCCCGCCTCAACCCAGCCTACTCAGGCTGTGCTTCGGGGTCACGTGTCGGGCAATGGCATCAAGTCGGTGGGTGTCAGTCGTGCTCCTAGTGGTCAACCTGCGGTGGTTGTGCGTTACCTGCCAGCGGCCCGAGTTCCAGCGCCAGCATCTGGCTACAGTGCCCTGGCTCAGAATGGGAGTGCTCGGAGTGCAGTCAAGAAAATATGCCGCCAGTGCTTTCAGATAGGGCTCGGAATCATTCGTAAGAGTCTTCCCTTATAGTCCAAATCTAGTTATACTATAATCTACCTCACAGCCTTGGTTATTCCAATTGCGCAGGTCACTCCGGAATGTGGGCGCCGCAGCGGCCGCCTTTTGCCCGCAGCATCGGGTCAGGGCTTGGGGCTTAGGGCTTAGGGTATAAGTACCTGGAAAACCAAAGCGCCCAAAATAATAGGCTACCGTGCGAAAACGAGCGCCTTTGCAAAAGTAGCTGGCAAAACAGGCTCCCAGGACATGCCGCAAACGAAAAAGGTCACTGTGACCATTATTAGACCCAAGCGGTAAACTTAGCGGTGTTGCCAGACTTTTACAAGGTCCTTACACAGGTTTGATTCGACTAGATTACATCCTTTGGAAGACACTATTTGTCTTCTGCAAAGAGATGTACTTCGTTGGGCAAGGACATCAAAACTAATCAAAATGCCCGGTTCTGTTTTAAATTTGCAATATCCATACAGCTCAACGACCACATCCCGTGCCAAAAACGTGAAGGCAAAGCACACTGCGCACTATACTCCACCGCGAGATTTACATGAGTGCGTGTACACACACACACACACATGTGCAGTACTTGTAGGACCTTTATGCAGTGCATAAGGAAAAAACTGGAAAATATATATCTTACATGCTGAGACAACCCTCATCCTCTAAACCTGCAGGTCTAAGAAGTGTTTGCAGCCTGGCAGTGGGCCTCGATTGCTCGTTCCTACACGTGCATGTGTTGGCTATGCAGTCTATATGTGTAAACATGCAGTGATATGAGATCCGACTTTAAGGCTTTCTATATAAGTTCGACTGCATGTACATACACGAATACTTATGCATTTTGATGTAGGGATGGAAACGTCTTGATGGTCACCTGTGGCTGCATAGGATCTCCGGAGTTTCATTGTAGAGTTGCAGGGCTGAGGAAGCTGTTTGCATCGGAACCTCCTCGGTTTTGCTTGCCGTCTTGCGGGATTTGTCGGGTCAGTCGGGGATGTGCTTGAAAGTTATCGGTGGATACGGCATCTTTAGCAGGGAGCCCAAAGATTACTAAACAGGTTGCGAGAGTGGTTGATGAGTGGCAGAATGTTGCCAGATATGTCAGGGGTTTGGTTTCGATACGCAAAACCGCGACGAAGTTTTTGCCGCTTTGGGATTTTTTGTCGGATCGATTGATTTCGGTACGATCGAGACGAAAAATGCAGTGCCGTAAAAAACCGTAAAGTGCCGTAAAAAAGCGACAAAGTGCCGTAAAAAATCGTAATTCGCACGGCCAGCGTTTTGATTGCTCGGCGCTTGGGTCAACACGTGCTTTTTGAACTTTTGAACAAACATTGTGACAAGCAAGCCCTGAGGCTTGTCTCGGAAGCCCATAGCTATTCCACGATGTATGTGGGGCGATCCTTCCGGGAGCCTCGACTTGTCAAGTAGGACACAAAAAGACATTGCAGGATAATCAATAGATTGAAGGGCCAATGTGTACTGCAGCAAGAGCTGCCTGGTAATGCCAACCGCCGCACGAGTCGATGGCAAGCCAAGGCAGCCGAGAAAGTGCTGAGGAAGTAAGATTTGGGTTTGCATGAGGCTTTCTTTTCTACTTGAGTCTGAACGTTTTGGTGCAACGTTGCTGACACGAGCCCAGTATCACTGTTCATGTAATGTTTCTTGGAAAAGCACTTCCAAGAGAGTATTCCGCCACGTGAATGAGTAAAGAGTTCTTGCGCTGCTTTCAGGGTACATGGATCTGGGCTATGGCAGTCCCTCTAAAGATGTGATGCTGCCGCTCAGGCCACTACATAATCTGGAGACATCCCACCGCAGTCTTGTCGTTTAGAGAACACGGCTAAAGCTATTGCAGAAATAGCATAGACTTCGTGCACATTAAGAATCTACAGGTAGCAGCACATAACAGAGGCCGCCGGTGGCCGCTTTACCCAAGCGCAGATGGACAAATACTCCATCTCAAAGATTTCTCTTGTCGTGACAAAGGTCAGCTCGCGACTGATCCAATTACAGGGGTTCCAGGAACATGTTGTATCATTTTGTCATCGTTTCGAAAAACTGCGGGCGAAACAAGCACTGACGATTCGGTGCGAGTTGTGGAGCAGTATGTCCAACAAACCCAGAGCGACACATAGTTTTTTGTGTTGTTGCATTGCTTCGCCCGAACTAAAACGGGCACCGAGCAAACAAACACTCAAAAACAAGCTCCTTTCGTCAGTTGCCGGTTATTTCCGGCTACCGGGTTTTCCAGGTATGGCTTAATTGCAGTATCTTTAAGGTGCTGCTGCATCACTATAGCATCCGTACAGCATTACCATGGTCTTGTTTGGGTTTACTCTATCACGGTTTAGTTATGGTGAGGCAGTGGCATTCGTATTTGTAAAATTTCTTTCTCTTCATAACCTTATTGCTGTCATAATTGTCATGTCCACTTGAGATCTTGCAAGGCTGCCCCACCCACGATGCAGTGACGACCTCAAGTTGTGTCGCTCCACAACGGACACACCCTTGAATCCTAAACCTAAAAGCAAACTTAGGCCTGAACCCTAAACCTGAATCCATTCGAAGCCCTGAAACCTAAACCCTAAAGCAAGCCAAATCCGTAAATGCCCTACACCGCAGAGCAACTCGGGCCTAAGCCCTCAAAACCCAGACCCCTAAACCAACCTAAGGCCCAAAACCTAGACCGTAATGGTTAAACCCTGAAGCAACCCTCAGCCGAGCCCTAAAACCAAAACCTCCAGCCTAAACCTCCAAACCTAAACCTATGCCCTCTGCCCTTAACCCCTTAACCCCTAAACCCCTAAACCTCCAAACCTAAACCTAAGTTGTCGGCCTCGCTTTTGCTGAGGACTCCCGTGCTTCATCGCCTTGCAAGACGCGCTCGACGGTAGACACTCCAGCAAGGAGTCATGCATTGTGAGGATGCAAACCGGGAAACCCTTCCGGCAGCCAGCCCGCTTGATAGAAGGTAGACTATATGCTTCGTCTCCTGTGCAACTATGCATGTCCATAGCCCGTACAGTGAGCACGCTCGTTTGTTGAAATTGCTGCTATTATCACATTCATAAGTACTTCTCTCTAATATCCTCAGAGACTCAAGGCTAGAGTAGTCTTCTGGACACTGCTCGTTCCTCAAAGGCTTGGCATGCCAGCTTGAAAACAAGCTCTCGTGTTCCTTCCGGAATTCTGTCAGCAGTGACGCGTGCCCTTGCAGTGATCCTTCGAGCTGCCTTGTTGCTGGCGTCGATGTGTCAGCCATTTTCAGGACTAGCTTGCAGCTACTCCGCTTTAAGACTACTGAAGCAATAATGTTCGCAATGAAGCAATCGGCGTGGCTTCTACTTCCCTCTGCCGTGATTTGGTGCCGGGCTCAGAAATCAGAAATGCGTGGCTGAAGGGACGTGCCCACTTGAATCTTCAGCAATAGAAGGGGCCCGCAACTGCCAGGGGGCTTTCAAACCCAGTGACGGCGGTGAAGTTCACGCAGGCAAGGCATCCGTTGCGTCCCATTCGGCATTGTGGACTGACTTTCAGGGCTGGGTTCACTTGTCTGTTGCTGCCCAACGCAGGACTCCACCGCCGGCGGCGGGCTCCAGTTGGAGCAGAGCGCCAACGAGTCACTCTCGGCCGGCACGGGCGCAGTCGGCAATCTCCAGTCCAAGCACAGCGTCAACGAGTCACTCTCCGCCGCTTTGATCCTTCGTTCCTCGCGCGTCGCCGAGGATTCCAATTTTTCGGATCAGGACCTGGATGCTGTGGTGTCCGCCAAGATCTTCCACGACATTGGCGACAGCTTCACCAAAATCGCAAACTCACTCAAAGCCGCAGGCTTGCAAGTGGGGAAAGCAGCCGGCAATGCAGCCATGGTGGCACCTTGGCTCTCGACGGGTCTCTGAGGGAATTTGCACTTCTCCAGTCCGATTCGGCCGATCGCCTTGTGGGGTTGCGAGGGGATGTGCGTTGCTTTGCACCGCTCACTCCCCGTTCACTTTTGTTTTGTGCCGACGGCGAGTCGCTAGACAGGGCGTGGGCTTAGAGGGGTTTGCGCGCGCCGGAGTCGCGAGGGGCGGCGTGGGACACGCACATCGACGGAACGCGTGAGGTTGCTCGTCGTGGCTGGTGTCATTTTTGTTGTCGCATGCTGGTGGAAGTGGGAAGTGTTGGTGCTGGAACTGTTGCTTCAATCCGTGGTTAATGTTAGAAACAAGCATGAAGCTTGGCAGCTCACATCCTGTCAGCTCCAAGGTAGGGGACCATGTCATCGAAGGTGCGAAGACCAAGTTTGATGCCTTACACGGGCCAATCCTGCAGGCGGCCAACAATATTGGCCAGCACGCCATCGCGATGGGTAAGGAGCTCGAGGTGCCCGGGGCCAACGTACATTGTGCAGTAGCTACCAGATCGAGGATATTGCAGTTTCGGAGTAACTCCTACATTGTGTCCGCTAGAGCCTCTACAACGCCTGAGCAGCTACGTTGTATTCTTTGCACGCGATAGCTACACGCAACACCACCTCCAAATCAAGACCCACCACAGAAAGAGAATGCCAGCATCTCCTGATAGTTGGGGATGTCGAAAGGACTTCGTTCCCTCCTGGTTTCCCTTCGAAAGGACTTCGGGGAAACGGTTGGCGAGGGCGTCGTCGATCTGGCCGGGGATGCTTTGACTCATGCGCAGAGGTTCGCCGAAGAAGGAGACGCTAACCCACGGAGGTTCATCAATACGTGAGAGTGCTGCATCCCTGAAAAGCAACTCGGAACCTTTGCCGTGTGCTTGTAACAAGACATTGAAGGCGACAGTCTTGAGTATCGCAGCCTTCCCATCTTTGAGTGTCCTCATGGAAATAAGCCTCAGCCCTGCCACCTGCGCATCTGTAACAAATCACCCAATTCTGCAGAGGGTGGAAGCCCATATTGCAGCCGAAGCTCCCAGCAACCCACAGCCCAACCTTGAAGCACCTTCTGATGCTAAAGCCTGCTCTACGAATCCTCAGCCACTGCTGCAGGAGCCAAACTGGCCAACAAAGTTGGAGATGAAATCGAAAGAGCGGCCGGAAATTTGGCAAGCTCCTCGGTGCTCATAAATCTGGTGTCTAGTGCAGCCCAGCTCGGGGACAAAACCTTTTCGAAGCCAAGTGTAGCTTTAGCGCCAGTTTGGTAATTTGTCTGCCCCGTCCCAGAAGTGGGATGCTGGACAACTTGCCACCAAAGGAATCACAACAGGTAAACAAACGCCTAAACCCTAAACCCTAAACCCCTAAAGGAGGCTGTTCAGCCTGTCGTTCAGGCAAGATGGAGAAGCTGGGCCCGCTTGTCGCCGGATTGGCTGCGGACGCCTGGGAGTGGCTCGGAGATAGGTCAGGCTTGCAGAACTGGTCATGAAGGGGCCTTGTAGAATGTATGAAATGTTTGATTTTCCGGAATGATTTTTGGGGCTACAATCAGAAGACGGTGGTTCGGATTTCGTCTGCGCATAGCCCTTCTGGTCCGGTCTGAAAACTACTCACGAAAGCATGTCGGGTCGGTCACACATACTCAAATCCAGAATGGCCTCCTTTCGTCCCTGAGCAGCAAAGGGTGATCTCGAAATGGTGGAATTGCATGGACGCCACCGAACTGCTGTGTACCATCTTGATCGGCAACCACTGTGATTGCACTGCCGGGCGGAGCAGGGTCAGCATCTCGAGCAGTGGATTGTCCTTGAAGTGCGTCATGAGCCAAACCGCCGATTTGTCCGGGGGCATGGGTTTCTCGGCCAAGCCCGGGGAGCCGTTTGGTGGGAAGTCGCCGAATGGCAAGCTGCGGCTTCCAACAGGAAAAGAGATCAAGCAGCAGTTCAGGGCTATGACGAAGAAGCTGAAGAAGGATGCACGTCAGGCCTTGAAGCCCCGGACATCGCAGGCCCCCACCGGAACTTGCGAGACGAGCATGGACTTAGCCTTCGATGGCATTGTGCAGTCAGCTTTGACCATTGAAATGAGCACCAAAGGCAAAACGACCACCATCGGAATCTCGGGAACGGTCCGGGTCTCCCTGGAAGGACTCGTGAAAGCTGAAGGTAGCTGCTCACTCAATGCAGAGAAGTGGTTTCCGAAGAAGCCCAAGAAGAAGGTGATCTGCTACAAAGGCTTTTGCATCGTCTTGCTGCTCCAGGGTGTCGCCGAACTCGAGGTAAATGGAGTCCTTACGGGTAGCCTTGATTTGGGTGCCGATGTCGACTTCGACATTGAGGGCTCGATCACCGTCGACAAGAGCACCGGCCATGCCGAAGCGGACTTCAAGACTCCGAAAATTCGCCGGCAGGCTCATAGGGGATGGAGGGGGCAGAGTCTCTGTCAACTTGCGAGACCATGCACGAGCAAGGCAGTAGGTTTTGGCGGTCGTCCGTTCCTCTTGGCCCGTGAGGTGTCCTTTGGCCTTGGGGCGAGTGCCTTCGCCTCTGTGCGAGCGGCTGCGGGACCCTTCCTCACAGCTTCTCAGCTGAGACGAGGACTCAAGGGGGGCCAGAAAGGCAGTGTGAACGGCTTAGCTTCCACGGAGCTGCCTGGAAACTCCGAGGTCTTTCCGGTCCCGGGCGTTCCCGTGAACTTCAATCCCATGCTGAACCTGGAAGCCAGGGCTCAGGGCGACATCAAGTTCGAACCGCCTCCGCCTGGTGTCTTCATGATTCAGGACTGGTGTTGATTCCTCAAGTCTTCATGCTGTGTTTTGCTAGACTTGGATAGCCGTGATGCCACGACTACGCTTTGGCGGTGATGGTCAGAATCTGTCACACTTGTCAGTACTCGAATCTGTGTCACTTGTCAATACTCGTAGTGGAAGCTGGATTGGAATGGGCACTAGTGAGCCAAATACCGCAGGCACGAAGACTGTACTGCTACTCAAAGGAAATAGGGATGCACGTTAGGTTTACAAGCTTTGCTTTCCCTTTATCGTGTGCGGCTGTGCTGTGGATTTAGAGCTCGAGTTTACGGCATAGTGTTCAAGCTTTTATTCTGATTCTACTACACAAGACACCAATGCCGCAACTGCTGTTTTGATGGCACTCCTTCTTGTTGTTTCGGTTGTTGTGGTGGTAAATGACGCGGAAATGACGATGTCAAGAGCCTGGGTCAAGCTGCCAGAGATGATCTGGGGAAGAAAGTCCAAACACCCGAGGAGAAGCCAGTTGCATGAATTGGAAAGGCCAAAAGCCCGCAGCAGTACCCACGATACCTGAAACCTCTGTAGGAGTTCGGAAAAGAGCCCCAGGAAGCGCCAACATCCCAAAATATCCTGCATAGTCCTGAACCATCCCAAGCCATCCTACCTACTATGCGGGCCTACATAAATAATTACCTATATTGTTTTGGGGGTTCCTTTTTAGTATAATGGGCCTCACAACCCTATTCTAATTATTAAGGCCCCTACATTATACCCGCCATTGTAGCCACATTTTTGGTTTAACCCGCTGGATATTTAGGATCCTATAACGTCACCGCACAAAGGAATACAGGTAAGCCACTAGAAGCCCCACCGAAGGAGAGTGAGTTGTCCACGGCCTCCACCTCTATCTCGCCTTCGAACGTCAGCATGCTGGAGGACATGGGGTTAGGCTGTAGGGCCTTAGGGCCCTAAACCCTAAACCCTAAACCCTAAGGTTTAGGGCCGGCTTCGGATCCAGTCGAATCTGTGTCTGCCCTGCTTTCCCTGCTTGAGTGTTTTGGCTGATCCTGGTGCTGTTGAGGGTCCTGCAGGGAGTCCCTCATGGCCCCGTGGTGCGCATCAGCTTTAAGTTCACTTGCCTTATAGCCCACTGGAGCTCTTCCACACGGAGCTTGGTGAGTAATCCAAGCCTGCAGGACACGGTTTCGTCAAATGTGAGCTCCGGCCGTTCGAACAAGCTGAAGATGTGCGCCGCAGCAGTGCCCAGCTCGGTCGTGTTTTAGGGTTTAGGGGTTTAGGGTTTAGGGTTTAGGGTTTAGGGTTTAGGGTTTGTTTGTTTCTGGGGCCTTCCGCTTCCGCTCCCCGCTCTCACAGAGGATACAGAGGGAAATACATCATGATCTACCAAACCCACGTGGGTGGTTGTCAAAATTATGGTCCTTTTTTGGGTCCTATTAAAATTCGGCACCTATTATTTAGGGTACCCCAAAAGGGACCATAATTTTGACAACTACCCACGTATTTGATGAAGGGCCGCAATTTCGCCCTGAGAGAGCTTCCGCAACCGCTTCGGCACCGGGTTCCCAAGGTTCCGTGTCGTTGTCGTCGTGTCTGTCTCATGTCCGTTTCCGCTCGCTTCCATCCCATGTCCACGTCGTTGCGGTCTTGTCGTGGGTCTTTTTTCCGTTTCTTTTATAAAAGTAACATGAATGCTGTCAGAAGTTACGTACAGTTCTCATAGCATCGTTTATCTGTGAACTTTCAAGAGCAACAGCTTGAACCCTGAATCCAACACCGCGACAGAGGCGCTGAATGTCTACCTCGACACCGGCATCACTGCCTTTGCTATTCCACTTCACTTCCAAGCAAGTTTCGGAGACCTCGAATTGGACTGGGGAGTTTGGAATCTTTCGGAGGTACATTCCTCGCCCCCAAGGAAGGATCCCAATCCAACACCGACCTGCAAGCTTCATGTGTTGCTGTTCTTCTGGTTGAGGGACACGTACAGTGCGGTGTTCAGTGTTGGGTTCGTGGAGGTGCATCAGAAACCCTAAGGGTCCAAGTACCTAATAATCATATACTCTCCCAAATAGTAACCTACATAACTACTATCCGAAACCTAAGTACCTCATTACAGGGTTCTTTGGACCCTCTGGGAAAGACAGCGACAGCCAAGGTTTCGATGCGAGCGCGATTATGGAAGGCATCACGGAGGCTTTCATGGCTGGCGCGAAGGCAGCAACCGCGGCTGCGGAGCTTGCATTTATGCTGGCTCGGCATTTGAAACCATGCTACTCTCATAGGTCCTGCAAGTTCTGAAAGTTGATCTCAGTGATCTCATAGGTCCTGCAAGTTCTGAAAGTTGATCTCAGTGAAACTGAGAGGTCTATGCTGCCGTGAAGTGTAAGGAAACCCCCTCCACCTTCAATCCTACACTACAGGGGCAAGTGTTCGAAGGTTCTGAGAAGAATCGGCCAATGCTCGGGCATCAGCTTCATGACAGCACCGGTTGCAAGCACGCTCGACAACGTGGCCGAAAAAGCTGCGGAGGTTGTGAACAAGATCATACCAAGCCTGACACTTGTCGTTCTGTTAAGAAGGGACCCTTGGAGCGGGCTTGGGACAGGCATCTATTTTGGGTAGAGTCGCCCAGCTTCATGTGGCGAGTTGTGGTTTCTATCTTTCTTCACCCTTCTTGGAGAGAACCCTAAACCCTAAACCCTAAACCCCATCGCGTCGATGGATGAGCACATTTGGGTTAAGAGAAGGGGCTCGGTGGAGATCAGTCTAAAGACGCCATAAATGGGTGGTTGTCAAAATTATGGTCCCTTTTTGGGGTCCTCGATATAATACGGCACCTAAGATTTAGGGTTTAGGCTTTGGGGTTTAGGGTTTAGGGCATAATTTTGACAACTACCCAAATGTCTTAAAAGCTCGCTTGTTGTAGCGACCCTCGCCTTATTACAGGAAGCTGGACTTTGGCGGCAAGCCCGTCGTGCTGGCTGTCCCGAAGGTCTTCTGCGTGGAAGCATACAAGATCCCCGGCGCGAAAACATTCTTGTCAAGAATTGATGGTCTTGCCGATTTAACGGACCCCCGCGTTGCAGATAGATAAGTCTCATCTGTGCTTTCCGTCGGTTTCTGAAAAAGACCAGGACGCCTGGATTTGATACTGCCCCGTGCGCAGCACAGCTTGGATGCAAGCACGTGGGACGGCTGCCTTCATCTGACGCTGAAGTTGAGCGAGTTTCTGGTCAACACTTTACGAGAAACGCTTCTTTTTGGTGTTACATAGATACAGCTGTTAGATACAGCTGAGAAAGAAGAGAGTGGCATGAACCCACGTCCGAAGTCCCTTGAGCCAGGTTATGCCGGAAGTGCAAACATCCGTGGCGACCCCGACCTCGAAAGCCCCAACGTGCCATCCGCTGCGAGCCACGGCGTGGCTTAGAACCAAGCCTCTGCTCAAAGCACAGGGCCAGCAGGGACCTGTGAAGGTCAGTACGAAACTCGGGTTTCCCTGTCTTTGGGCTGGGCCGCAGCCTAGGAATGGGAGATCGCTTCATCGAGTTGGGCAACTTCCGTTTGGGGGAATTCAACGATTTCCACTTCTCCATCGCGTACTGCGCGCCACTCGAGGCGCCCCGGTCCTCTCCAGGAGAAGTCTGTTTTCAGCCGGCTCTCGCTAGTAGGCTGGGGGGCTTTAGGTCCCTTGATCCCTAAACCCTAAACCTTTCTGAGACAGGGCTGCAACACGCAGAGACACTACTACACCCCGGCTATTCCGGGCCAAGGCGCTGGGCAGAGGGTGTTCAGAATTAGTGTCAGAGCTGTAGCATTTGGGATTAACGGTTCGGGTCTGGTCTAGTGGCTTGGGCCTTCAGGGCTCCAAGATTCCCGGCGCCTCGAACCACACAAGGCGGAACTCCAAACCCTTGCTTTCGGTAGGGGTTTAGGGGTTTAGGGTTTAGGGTTTGGGGTTGCAACCACCAATGCGAATCAACACACAAGGAAGCCCAGCCAACACCTGCAACCCCGTGTTTTGCGGGATGCATGTGACACGTCGCCAAGGGTGTTGCGTCCTTCTTTGAGCACGCGGTTTGGAAGACCCGTAGGCCATGGCTTAGGGCAGAGCCCTGTCCGTTGATTTTCCCTGCAGAGGTACCAAGGAGCTGGACTGGCGGGACTGTCAGGTCAGAGCCGCGGCTGTATCAAGTATAGAAGCACTCATCCACTCATCCTTGGAGCTCTCATGCGATTGGCCTTGGTTTTCCAAGAAGCTGAAGCAGACGTAGCGATGCAGTCCCCAACATCCTTGGTGTGTTTGAGTGCCAGGACAACCTCTAGAAACTGGTGTGGGTTCTTGGCAGGTAGTCTTTGTTTGCTTGAAGCCCTTCCAGTTGGAACCGCCTCCCGTCGGGAGTTCCTGTGTACCTCAACTTTTGACCGAAGCTACACCGGCTAATCTATGTAGTCTACAGAAAAACACAGCTGAATTTTGATAGGCCTAGCATAGAGTTTGTCAAGTCTGAGTATCTCTCTAACGTCTATCTATCTGTCTGTCTATCTATCTATCTGTCTATCTAGCTGTCTATCTGTCTGTCGAACTATCTACATACCTCATATATTCATACTATCTCTTGTGTCCATCTGTGTGTCGGAGTATCCAGCAACCTATCTACATACTATCTCTTTACCTGGCTACCTATCTATCTATCTATCTGTCTATCTATCTATCTATCTATCTATCTATCCATCTATCTATCTATCTATCTATCTATCTATCTATCTATATCTCTCTCTGTCTCTCTCTCTCTCTCTTTCTCCCAATCTACTTCTTTTATCTATCTACATGTCCGTCTATCTGACATCACCCCATGCATTTCCATCAGGTCCCAAGAAGCACCCAACCTCTAGCGCTGCTCTCTCTCAGGGCGGCAAGCAGGGATTGGCATTGGCGGCACCAGACAGGCCTTCAAGCATGAACTCAACCTGGAACCTTGAATCCTTCTAGCCGCAGCAAACCCACCCATTTCACGAACTCATGCTTTTAGCACAGCATGAAGAGTGCCACGTACAGCCTGGAAGTCACAACCCTAAACCTCCAATCCTCTGGGGCGCGTGCCCAGGATGCGCTGGTGTAAGTGGCTGCGCGCATTTCACCTTCTGGCCGACACTTGGCGAGACGTTGAAGGCTTATGCTTCTCAAAGAGTTCTCGTTCTCATGCCGGAGAGCAGAAGCACGGGAAAGCTTGCAACACTGCCGAATCACAAACTTCAGCTAGTCGCCGAAGCCTGAGCTCGGGACAGAAGTGGTAGATCAGGGTGATCCCTCCGCTGTGTTGCAGAGCCTGAGCTGCCACATAAAGATGGAGTCGTAATTGGGTGAGGCCCAATTGGGTGTGACATGGCTCCAACGGCCGTTTTTTCTGCTCCGACCCAGCATCCCCACCGCTTCACGCATCGCATCACCCAAAACCCTAAACCCTAAACTCCAAGGGATTCCAGCAACTGCGACCTGCACAACAGCACCTTGGCATTGCATGGAAAAGCTCCCCACGCCTTTCAGGTAATCAAGTCTCGGCAGGATATATGTGTCCTCGTATGCAATATATAGTTTCCCCGTGTTCCTGAAGTACATCATCTTGCTGTGGTGTGTCTTACTTCCGTTCTGATCTAAAGCACGGTCGTGTTGTGCGGTCGTATTCTTGCGTATGCCATGAATCTCACTCCAGCGCACCCTTTCGGGTTACATCGATTTGCATGTAGAAGCACTTGGGGTTCCGGCATAGAATTCAACGCCGCTGCCCGATGCGTATTGCGATGATGGCAGGGAAGCGTGTGTTACCCGAACCTGCATGAGCCCGCGCCCTCCCACCTTCCCCCCGGAAGTGAACGATTTCGAAGCCCGACGTCCCTAAGAAGAGCCCTTTTGTGGAACCCGAAGCCCTTAGAGCAGTTTTCAGGTGCGGCGTCGCTTCATGCCATCACTCAGTGGTGGTTGCACCCCGTCGTAGGCCCTCCCAAGTGTGAGGAGCAGGCCGACCTGCAATGGGAGCCCAAAGCACCCAGAGACTCCAATATCCCTTATAATTAAGGAATATATACCTTAAATCTTTTTGGAGATCCTACTATAATTTAAGGTATATTCAATAGTATATTCCTTAATTAGAGGATATTGGAGTCTCTGGGAAACAGACAATTATTCAGGATCGGGGGACAGCCCAGCTTCAAGGCCGACATAGTCTTGCCGAGGGCGGCGCAAGTATTGAACAAGGGTTTGGGGTTCAGGCGATGATGATCGGGTGAAGGATACAAGGTTTCCGTCTTGACTGACTGACCAGCTGAAACCTTGCGGCAGGCATACTTCGGTTGGTTGTGATTGGTTGTGTTTAAATACGGTGCAGGTTGTACGTCCTGTAGCTGCCGGGAAACCTTGATGCGATGTCCAGAGTCTGTTCTGGTTGCATGAGACTCCTTGGATTACGGATGTCAGAAATCAGAATCTGAAACCCCAAGCCCGGCAGCTCTCAGGGTCTAGGCACATCTCGGCCAGGTTACTGCGCATCATCATCACTACTACCAGCCGGTGGATATTCCCGGCCACGGTGTGGTGCAGCAGTGGTTACGATTGAGGGTTCTCGGTTCAGACGCACTTGTAAGCTTCTGAAGCTTAGTTGACGGATTGTCAGAAGCAAATCACAAGTTGTCAGGTTTGGAATATGAGAACCTTCATGGGTCATAGGCTTGGGCGTTCATGTCTCCGGCCACCTCTGGGTTCGCCTTCGGCTCCTTTCGCGCAGGTTTTGGGTTTAGAAGTTTAGGGTTATATGGAGGACTGAAGATTTGCCAACATTATTCCTGAAGGGTTCCTCGTTATAACTATACAGACTATGCAGTGTAAGATACCCCAAAGCTTTTTTCCAAGTCTGCAGGCTCCGCTGTTACACACACTCGCGTTTAAATGCTTCAATCCTGTGATGAAGCCAGAAATTCGAAGAGCTTGCATCAAAGCAGCCCATAAAGAGCCAGCCTTGACTGCTTGCTAGAAAATCCTCAAACAGGGGGCGGGTGGGGGGGGTGCGGCGATCCTGAGGAGACACAAAGAGTGACCTGAAAAAGACCTCATAAAGGGAAGCCTCCCCAGGAGATAGGTGACCCTAATATGCCCGTGCGGTCTTTATGTAACTACCCATAGGCTCCATTGTAATTTTAGTTCCTTTTTGAGATTCTACCTGTTAGGATCCTGAATATAGACCACCAAAGAACTACAAAGGAGCCTATAGGTATGGTATGATGAGCCCAATTAAGGAATATACCCTAAACCCTGATATGAAGGCCCCGACAATTTAAGGTATATAGCTGAAATATTTTCAGCCACCACTCTCATGAGCGCAGAGGCAGGTCCTGGGAAGCTGATTGGCAAGGCTGTTCTCGCAGAGCCGTGGCTGTAGAATGGAGAGCACAAGGGCAGCCAGTTACAGGGTTTCGGGTTTTGGGGCTGTGTAGGTGTACTGCGAAGTTGGATTAGAAGCTATTCCCGCAGTCAAAATCCGGACTCTTGCACCCCATGTCGTAGCATTTCCTTAACCCGAGCACCGTGCACACAGCGCGGAAACCAAGACGCAAGTCAAAGACTCCCTAAACCCTAAACCCTAAACCCTAAACCCTAAACCCAAAGCCCTGCCGACGAAGGATGTGCAAAGGTGCACGGCTGTGCGCATTGGAGCTGGTGGCCGACTCTCGGACTGAACCTATAGTCGGATCCATACCCATAGGCCCCATACTAGTTCCTTTTTGGGGTTCATATTTAGAATCCTATAAGGTAATCCCAAAAAGGAAGTACCTATAGTCTCCATTGTAGTTCCTTTTTTTTGTGGTTTAACCAATTATTATATTAAGGATTGTATAAGGTATCCCCAAAAGGAACTACAATGGAGACTATAGGAAGGCTTCTGCACACCGTTGCTGGAGTCCATGCTGCGATGCTAATTCTAGGGCCTGCGCCCACCGGGCGGGCAGCACAGGGCGGGGCTTAGGATTTAGGGCTTAGGGCCCCGCTGATGCTGATGATGCGGGCCCGGGGTCCCGGACTGGGGCCGCTGAACCCTAAACCCTAAACCCTATAAACCCTAAGCCCTAAACCCCTAAACCTGGGGACGCGCCTAGCTAGCAAGCTAAAGCTCGCCTCGCACGTGCCCAGTGACCGAGCTCTGCCCGATTTAAGAGCCTCCGGCTCAAGCTGCCGAATTCGGGGGTGTCACAGGAAAGGTTGTCAGAGCGTGCGTGCTGCTGTATACACCATTAGCACTGCTATTTGGCCCTGTAAGGAAAATATACGGTTTCTTCAGCCTCAACTACTGGGTGGCCCGTACAGAGCGGGCACAAGAAGGGTTAAATGGTAATTAAATGAAATGGAACGATAAAATGCTCGATCTGGCCACGACCATTTTCAATGACCATTTCCTCGCGGGGGCTGGAATACAAAGAGACATCAACAAGAAGATCTTGGAAGTGGCAGCAAACAGAGAGTGGTGGGCTCGCGTTTTGAGCCAGACCAGAAATATCTGGCGTCGCCAACGGGAGGGACGTTGTCATACAGTCCGCGCACAGGGCAGCTACAAAAGAAAAATAAACTCTACAGTAACGCGTGTTTGCTTGCCTGCTCCTTGCTGCCACCTTACAAGTTCATAATTTGAGTCTAGTCTTCAGGGCTCAATGTGCAAGGACATGGCTGCAGGCTCTGGACTTTGGCTCCCAGACAAGTACTCCAATCATGGAGGGAACGAGGGTTGAGGCTTCAGTCCATGCTGCGATGCTATCAAGAACACTGATGAATGCATAAGCGACCCAAAATCTACGAGCTGAGGAATGATGGTGGCTGCCACTTGCAGCACGGCCGCCCGGCCTTAGAAGCTTGAAGCGTCTGCGCCTTCCCCAAGCCTGCTTCTCAGCCGTGGCAAAATGCTGGAAATCCCCAGAGTTCGGGCCCTAAGCCTGCTCCTTCTGCTTCGCAGGCTCGGCGTGGTTGACACATTCTCCTAACGTCCGCTGCGGCGCGCCACCGAAGGCCGGGGCCCAGGTTTGGGCGGTCTTGGGGGGCTTAGGGCCGTGGGTTTATACCCATATTCGAGTTCCATCTAGTTCATACAATGGAGACTATAGGCAGGGTCCGTATTGAGTCCTTGTACGTTGCCACTTTTTCGTGATCTCACGAATTTCAAGCGTAGGTCGTCCTTCGTGCACACGTTTCCATCGATCCCCCTCGCGCTTTGCTGCTTGCTACCTGATCCCT